CCCCCCAAAAAAAAAATACCTCTAAGACATTAAGTTTAGGTAAATTTAATTACAAAAATTTAATGAATAACTAGGTTATAATGATCATTGGCATAATATTTCAAATAGGCAATTCAGATTCAAATCACTATACATATGTTTTTATAAAATTATTTTAGAATTAAAAACTCTTCATTTTGCATATTAAGAATAATTTTATGGAGTTTATTGAATGAAATAATCGTTTTATTATTCGCATTCGTAGAGTGGGTTACAAATCATATGAATGGTTCATTTTTTTTCTATTTTTCATTATGTAATTATTTTATAAAATTTTTATTAGAATTATTTTTTATTTGCTTAAAACTCATTAAACTCCTAGTTAAAGATTTAATTTAACAAGGTTAATAATAATATAATTCTTCAATTTAGTTTTTCATTAAAAAAAGATGTTAGAAGAAGAGGAAAGTTGCTTTTTAAAAGATTTTTCTTGCTATTTTCAAAAGACTTTTTGTTACTTGTCATATTCTTCTTACTACAAAATTTTATTACTTGTCATTTTCAAAATTTTCCTTGAAATTGGTATCAGAGCCTAGAGCAGTCATAAATTATATAGCTTATAAAAAAAATTGAGTATTTAAATTTAAAAATTTTAAGAAACTATAAAAGAAAAGATAACTTAGAAGCAGTTTCTCTAATCTGTAATTTTGATAATAAGTTTAGACATGCTTTACAGAGTGAAGATAATAGTATTGTAGACTTACTAGTAAATTTAGGAGAAAATTTAGAAAGGAACAATTCAAATAAAAGAATAGAAACTTTATTAGAAAATATAAATAAAAATATAAAGAATTTAGAAGCTAATCTAGAATATATTAAAAATCAAAATACCAAAATACTAAAAAGGAAATCTAATAATATAGGAGAAACAGAATCTGGCCCTAACTTAGGAAAATTGGAAAGCATAGTTAAAGCATTAGAAAAAGAAAAGTCGACAGATAATAGATAAAATTAAGATAATATAATAAATAAACTAGAAAAATTAGATTTGGGTAAAACTAAAGAACCTAATAGATTTAAGAAAACTAAGTGGATCTATACATAATGGATAAAGGAAATCAAATCGTAACCACTAGTAGTAAATTAGTAGGTAATCCTTTACTAAAAACGTTAAGTAAAAAAAAAAAATCCGAAATAACACTAAAATATCTAATAGATATAGAAGAACAAATAGAAATATTTAGACAGAATAAACTAAAATTAGTAAAAGTTTCAGACATATATAAAAAAGGAAATTTATTTAGCAAATTTTTAATATATCAGCATTATGAAGCAAGATATGTTCCCTACATGAAGATCAATTTATATATCTAGATTTAATAGAAAAAGAATCTTATAAAGAAATTGTTAAGAAAAATCTTCAACGGATTCATTTAGGATTAGTAATAATAGAAGTAAAAGGGCTTCATAGAGAAAATTTAGGAGCTAAAGTATTAGTATGTTTATATGATAGCAGATTCACAGATATAGAACATGGATTATTAGGAAGCATAGAATTAGATATGAATAATAAAGGCGGAATAGTATATTTTACACAAGACTATTTCGTTAAAACATAGAATTTCTATAAAGAAATTAAAATAGGAATAAAAAGCAAAGGATATCAAATGAAAAAAGATGAGGATAATCTATTAATTTGCACAGGATTCATAGGAAGACTTAGTGAAAATAGTACTACTAATTATAAATTAGAAAATAATCAAATAATTACATTATTATAACAAAAAGGTATAAACGCTATCCCAATAAAGTAATTCTCTTCATAAACATATGTAGGATTAGATTGGTACTTAGGAAATTTTCTATAAAATTTAATATTAGTATCAGAAAATAATATTATGTATAAAAATAGTAATGAAACTTTAAGTATTAGATTTGAAAATTATAATTATCAAGTAGAACAAAACACAGCATAGTGAGGAAGCAAATGAAGGAGAATGTGAATAGTTTGAAATAGAGAACTACAAACGTGAAGACGAAATTAATGCTTTAAATGAAGATAGTAAAGAAGATGAAAGCGGTAACGATGAAAAAGAATTTGGATACGTAGATATGGAATATTATAGAAATCTTAGAAAAAGCTAGAGAAATAGAAACTAGAATGTTCATAGAAAAAGATCAAGTAAATATAGAAATCAAGATGGAAGAAACTAGCAAGAGCTAAAATGGAAACAGATCAAGAATTTGAAAAAAGAAAAGAACCCATGAATGCAGAATACGATATAGGAGGTAAATATCATTTTTCCCCTTCAAGAGACTTTGAGTGGACTAATAAAAAATATAAAAGTTTAGGAAAAAGACAAACGGAAGAATGATGTAGTTTATCATTAGCAAGCTATAGAAGATTAATCTAAGAGTTAAATAATTGTAAACTACATAACAGACCTAGTACTATAACTGAATGGGAAAATTCTGTAATTAGAGCATATAATAGTGTACCTATACAAATGACTGTAGAAGAAATGTGGGCTTACTTAGAAACTTATATAAGAAAGACTGTTTTAGATGTATACGTTACAGCAAAAAGACAAACTATATGAAATTAGATTAAGAATGGCTAGAGGAGATAATTCTAGAAATTTTACAAACTTTATTAGAGAATTAATTATAGGTTTTCATCCCAATAGAGATATACCTATGAACAAAATAAAGTCTTAGAAGATTTAGAAAAATTAAGTATTAGTAATATAAAATACATACAACCATTTTTGTTAGACTTTGAAAGATTAGCAAGCGCAGCAGAATTAGCATTAGATTATCCTATACTTGAAAGATTATATAGAAAGATACCACCATTATAGAACGATAAAATTAGAAAAGATGTAGAGTCAAACCCAACAAGGGAAATAACTATTAGTGCCACCATAAAATTTATAACTGATAAATTAAAAGAATGTTGTGTAGAAAAAATAGCTAGAAAGCAAATAAAAAAAATTAAATTATTCTTTTTGCTCAAATTTATAAACACCACAGACATGTGATTATAGAAGAAGGAAAAAAATTGTATAAAATGGATTAAAAAAAATATAAAAGGCAATATCAAAATAAAAAGAAATATAATATTAGACCAAGTAGGACATATTATAAAAATAAAAGACCCAATTATAATAGATATGTTAGAAAACCAAAAACTAAAAAACACCGTAAATGTTATATTTATAGAAACCCTAGACATTTTGCTAAGAAATTCCCAAATAAATATAAAAATAAAGAAAATAAAGCTAAATCTGTGATAATTGAAGAAATAAAATGTAACATAATAGAATTATCTGATAACGAATCTTGTAACTTAGTATATAGTGTTTACACGGATGAAAAGTTATATAATTTATAAATAACAAGTAACTTTGAAGATAGTTATAATAGCTTAGAAGAGTTAGATTTTTCAATTTTAGATATAAAGATGATGAATGTAGAACAAAAATGTATCCATGAATGGATTAGAGGACAAAGATCAATGATGGATAAATTTAAAATGTGCAAAATATATTCAAGACATAAAAATAGAAAAAAGTGTTTAAAAATTGTCTAGAAACTCAATACAAAAATTGTTTAATGATTAAAAAAGAAATAAATAATAATAAAAATAAAGACTATAGTGAAAGTATAAAAAGATTAGAAAATAAAATAATAGATAGGAATAATAGAATAGATAAAATACACGAAATGTTAGGAGAAATACAATATATAATCAGAAATTTAGTAAAAAAAAAGGAAAATAATCTGTAGATAATTACACAGAAAATAATCTTTTGGAAACAGAAAATCAAGAATAAATAATTTGTCAAATTTCTAGAGTAACGACAACAAAAAATATCAAATTACCTATAGAAGTACAGATAAAGAAAATGATAAAATTAAATTTGATAGCATTAATAAACACAGATTGTACATTTAATATAATCAAAAAAGATTTAGTACCAAAAGATTGTAGACAAAAATTAGAATATGAAATAAGAGGAAGTCAAATGGATGGTAGTAAAATGGGATTCGAAGAGAGGCTTTGTGATGATTGTAAGATCAAATTCCAAGAAAGACAGTATAGTTTAAGGACTACATTAGTTAGCGCATTGATAAAAGACGAATTTGTTATATGTATAAAATTCTTGCTAAGTAGAAATTGAAGTTTAACAATTACTTCAGACGTCACAATTTTTAGAAAAGACACTTTTATTATTAATACTACATAATCATCAGAGTTGCGAGCTAAGCGTGGTGGATCCTTGCAAACAACCCAGAAATTGAAGAAAATTTAGAATTTTTAGATAATTTATATTTAGAAACTTTAAAAACAGATTTTATACCAAGAAATAAAGAATTAATACTTTTTAACAAAACATCTTCTAAGATAGATAGTATAGACAAAATTTTAGAATTAGATGAAAAAATTCAAATAATAGGAGAAGACCTTATAAAATATTGGGATAAGAATAAAATAGAAGCTAAATTAGAAATAATAAATGAAAATACAAAAGTTAGAACAATAGAAATAAAACATACAAATCAAGATATAAAAGATTTTAAGATACGGATTAAAAAATTATTAGATTTAAAAGTAATAAGACCATCTAGTAGTCAACACAGATCAACAGTTTTT